GTAATTATGTCAAAATGAGGCCATTAGGATGGGCCCTAAAGCAATATGATTGGTGTCTTTATAAGAAGAGATTTAGACAGAGTCACCAGGGCTGAACACACACATTGAAAAGGCCATAGGAAGACACAGCAAGAAGGTGTCCTTTTGCAAGCCAAGGAGGCCTCAGAAGGAAAACAAATCTGTCAACCTTTGATCTTGGACTTGCAGCCTCTGGAACCATGAGAAATAAATTTCTGTTGTTTAAGCCATGCAGCCCCAGCAAACTAATACACTGTACATGCCCTGTAGCTCAGCCAAATGGTAATCATCGTCACAGAAAGGACTGGATCAAGGACTGTTGCTGTCACCAATGTTCTCACAATAATACCTAGAGAAATCAGTTCCTCCCACACATGATGCATTTGAGCTCAGCTAGGATGGATTCTCTAAGGTGGGTAAGGGAGTGACATGACAGCGAGGATGGCCGCCAGTGGAGTCTTGCTGTAGCCATGTACTCTGCTTGCTCCCATTAGTCCCTACACCTATGGAGCAGCTGGAAAGGATCACAGGCTCTCTCAGGATTAGAGAGAAAGAGGTAAGATCCTCTCTCAAAAATCAAATTAAAAGACAAATTCAGTTATTGTTACTAAAAGATTAAAAACTAACCAAGGATATGAAGTGTTATATAAATAAGATCGAGTAGGTGGCAAAATCAATGTGTGGTACAGAAGGGCCAAAGTTGAGGAAAGAAGTGGGAGCCAAGCTGACTGAAGAGCCTTCCTTGAAGAGGGGCATGTAAACTGATCTTGCAGGATGGAGAAATTCCAGAGATAAGTTGAGAGAGAATTCAGTAGAATCCACAATTCAGTACAATCCACAAATAGGAAGAAAGCCATGTGTGTGAGATTGGTCACACACCTAACTCTCATTTCTCAAACCTGGCAATTGCCATATGCCGCAGGAGGAACTTCATATTAGCATTGGCCAAATTGTATTTCTCAGGACAGTCAACACACGCTCAAAAGATAAAATTGAAAATCGGGGGATTAAATAGGTTTTTTATTGCAGAATTTCTTAGAACTCAAAACACATTTGTAAATGTCCCCCAAATGAGTCGACCATAAATCCTGTTTCCCAAGAGAATCTCAAAGAACTAGTATTTTGAACTAAATCTTCCTGATATCTCTAGTGGGTAGCCAACCCATGATGAGCAGCACAGTGGAAAGTACCAAGTCAAAACAGGGTCAAGTCCTGAAATTTTCATACCAGCAAACATTTGTACAGAAAGTCTGGAGGGGGATGGGGAGAAGGGTGAGGCACCAACTCTGGGGAGAGACAAAAGGAAGTGATAAAACCAGTGAAAAGCATTAGAGTATGGCTGATTTTTTTTTAAGTAACCAACACTATTGTTTCTCTTTACTTCACAACAATCCTTGTAAAGTAGGCTCCCAAATTACTTCATTTTACAGATAAAATTAAGTGGGGCTAAGTACTTCACTCAAGATCACACAGCTAGCAACTGACAGAACCAGGGTTACATCCAGTTAGGGAGGTGATTGCAAGAACCCTCAAAACTTACAGCCGGAAACACTTAGCAAGTTCCTGTTACATGCCCAACAATGTGCTAGAGAAACAAACAAAAGAAACCACAACCTGGAGCAATAATTCTAGGGAGCAGCTAGAACTGTCCTATTTTCTCAAGAGCCAGTCAGCTTTACTTGGGGCTGAGCCAGAAGTCCAAAAGCAGACAGTTCTGCAGACACTGAGAAGTAAAACTGAGCTCAAGGGAGATAGTGGACAACAGCGAACAGCAGAAGCCCTTGGAAGTTAAGTGCAACAGTTCAGACTCGTGAGGTCTGTGAAGGATCAAGAAAATCCACACAGGGCAGTAACCAGTCACCTCTTTGCTGCCAGCAGCAGCTGCAGCTGGAACACGCTGCCATTTCCTATGTCCCCACGACAGCAGAGCAAGGTTCTTGTGAAAACTTGGCCAAAACAGTTGACACTACAACTGTTTGTCGCGGTTTCACTTACCACAGTACGTATACCACACACTCAGATCAGAGGAGTTGCAGATCCAGCGCTGCTTCATAGGTTCAGTAAATACAGAAGCAAACAGGGTGGAAAAAAGCATAAAGGGGAACATGATTTGATATCTCCAAAACTTCAAAAATGCAGGGAGAATCAGTGGCTAATCATCAGACTCTTCCTTTCCAGTAAGTAGAGAAGATTTAATTAACTTAGTCATCAGTCACATGATTTCTGAGTTCTTATCCGACTGTTTCCTCTTTTGTGTGTATGTCTGTGTGTTTAAAATTTGAGCACTTCCTGAAAGAGGAGAGAGGAAAACGACTTGAGAATGCACTCTTTTCAAATACTTGGTACAAAGAGCACAAAGCTTTAAAAACAAAACAAGGTACTTCCCAATGGTAACAAAACGAGACTGCAGATCTTCCTTCAGAATCCTAACAGACTGGCACCCCTTTTCCTTCAGCACTGCAATTCTCTCCCATGAGTTATTTAAACAAGTTCTCATGATCCAGAGAATTGCACCTACAGATCTGAACCGAACAGTCTTCTGCAAACTATTTCTGCCCCACAAGTAGTTCAGCCATAGGGCACAGCTGGGCTGGATGAGACCACAGCTATGGGATACCATCTGTAGTTCTGCAGGGGCCCCACCAGTTTACAAATGCACTCTTAAGCAAACTACAGCTCCAGGGAATATTTTGAGCCCTAATAATGAGATGGTCATTCCTTTGTGTGTGGGATATATTTTATTTCAAATCTCTCACTCCATTCTAGAAAAACAACTAGTCCTTCATACTACTTGGAACCCTTTATAGGATATAGTTTGGGGACTAGAGTCAAAAATGGCATACAATCAGAACCTGAGAATCTACAAGTTTAGAGGAAAGTAATCATATGTTGGTAAAAGATTTCACTAAAGAACTGTCCTACTTTTTCATTTTTAAAAAGGCAAAAAAACCACAGGGAATGGGGATATGGGGAGTTGTTCAAGGGGTATTGAGTTTCAGGTTTGCAAGATGAAAAGTTCTAGAGATCTGTTGCACAAGGTAAATTCAGTTAACACTACTGAACTGTACACTTAAAATTGGCTAAGGTGCTAAATTCTTTGTTACATGTTTTTTTATTTGAAAAATATATTTAAATGGTGTGGAGGAAACCCAGGAATACACCTAATGGTCCCCAAATGCCATTTCCTATTAAAAGAAACAAAGATTCTTTGGAGAAATTGATGATTCCAGGTCTGGGCAGAAAACATATGAAGTAAGCCTAGAACATCTTATCATATTAGATAATTTGACAGTTCCACTGACCAAAGATGGGTTTCCTCCTATTGCTGTCACAAATAATCACAAACTTGGTGGTTTAAAACAATATAGATTCTCTTACAGATCTTGAGGTCAAAAGTCCAGTATCAGTTTCACTGAGCTAAAGTCAAGGAGTCAGCAGAGCTGCTTCTTCTGATGACTCCCAGGGTATAATTTGTTTCCTTGCATTTTTAATCTCTGGAGGTATAATCCTTGTGTTCCTCTATCTTAAAAGGTCAGCATTCCCATATCTGCTTCCGTTATCACATCACCTCACTGATCTCCTGCTTCCATGTTACAAGGATCCTGTGATTACACTATTACCATTTGGATAATCCAGGATAATCTCTCCAACTCAAGATCCATCTATAAAATCTGTGTCACATAATATAACATTACAGCTTCCAGATATGAAAGTCCTGCAGGACCATTATTCAGCCGACCTGTAGGCTATATGAGCATTAAGATAGTAACTGCAGTGAATTGAAATATATCAATGAATTGAAATATATTTAAACCTAGGAGCTCACAATTGTTTTAAGGTCTAATTAATCATCAGTCTATAGTTTGAAAACTGGTAATTCAAACATCTGTACTTACTTTTCTATAGAAAATGAACTATTGGTAACCAAGTAGTAGACAGGGGCTTTCTCATATCTTTTCTCTAGTTTTTAAAAACATTTCAGCTAATATATGAAAAAGGAATAATAGAATACAGCAATTTTGCAACATGTTATGAATGAGTGAACTTAGGCATTGAGCATCAATGGTTGCTAACATCATGTACTTCTTGACGGATGAACAGTGGTGGCCAGCCTGCAAGATGGCTCCCAATGATCCTTACTTCCTAGTAAGCAAATCTTTGTGTGGTAACCTCCAACAATGAATAAAGCTGTGTAACTAATAAAACATTGCACAGTGACAACATGTGACTTCCAAGGTAGATCATAAAAGACACTGTGGCTTCTACCTTGCTTTCCTGGATCAACTGCTCTGGAAGAAGCAAGTAGACCTAAAAAGAGATCCATGTGGTAGGCAACTATGGCCTCCTGACAAAAAGCAAGCACCAGTGTATGAGTCATGTGTGTGAACCACGTTGGAAACAGTTCCTCCTGCCCCAGTCCAGCTTTCAGATGACAGCAGCACCAGCTGGATCTTGACTGGAACCTCATGAGACCATGAGCCAGAACCACTCAGCTAAGCAATTCCTAAATACCTGACCAACAGGAACTGTGCAATTTTATAAATGTTGTTTTAAACCTCTGAATTTTAGGTGGCAATTTGTTATGCAACCATAGTTCACTAATAAAACATCATCTATGAATCAGTCTTGTCCAAAATAAACTTTTACCTGATAAAGCCTCAAGTCCAACTACCAATTTATAGGAAATAACAGAAGACAAACATGCTAAACTACACCTCAGGAATATAATCAGAAAATCTAAACTATGAAAAGATGTAAAGGACAAACAATTCAGTCTCTTCAACAGGTAATTTGCAAAGGGTTGTAGGGGCAGGTAGGGAAACAAGGGGGGAAATGAAAGAAATGGAGGGATCGATAGATTAGAAGTCTTAAAAGACATTTAAATAATTGGTGTGAATAAGCTATGAATGAAACGTGGGGAAAAAATTGGAACAGATTGGATATTCAATATCACTGGGAGCCAGAGAGCAGTTTAGATATTATAGTGGTATTGTAGTTCTATTTTTAAGTCCTTATTTTGTAATTATAAAATTAAATATTTAAGAAGGAAATGTTCTCTGGGATTTGCTTCCAAAAAAGATTGGTAATCTTTGAATCTGCATGGTTAAGTCATGTTGGTTCACTGCACTCTTTCACTTTTGAATGTTTAAAATTCTCAATGAAATGTGTCCTGAAAAAAATCAGAATACAATTTTAACAATACTTGGTCAAGTTAGCATAGAGATTGTTATTTTGTGAAAAGTACTGTCCAAGCTAAAGCTATCACTCATACCTAATGGCCATTTTGCTAACTTTTGTTTCTAAAAGCTGAAGTCTTTCAGAAGAATGAAATCTACGTTGAGGGAAGGGATTACATTTTATTGTCAAATGGTACATTACCTGATGTAACCCCTATGTCAGCCAGGATCACCCTGCCTTTTGAGACTCAACTAAAACTGACTCATTGTCCTCTCTCTAGATAGAGACTCATCACCTTCCCAATCTTTCCAAGATTATGCTGGCTGGGGTGAGGGCAGTGAAGAGGCAGAGAGATGTGGGTATATTTCTCCTCACCAAGGCTGAGTTGATTCTGATTTACTTCAGGGATGAATCATCATAGTATCCTATGCATACTTATCCTTTTCTACCTCTTTATCTCACTCCAGACCATGTCCTTAAGAAGTTATCTTTCTCCCTCTGCCTTTTAAGCATGGTTTCTTTCTCCTAACCAAGTTATCTTCTGCAGAACTAATGATACTAATAAAAACAGGTTTTTCATTCCATTACACAGGTGATAAAATGGTTACATGGATACAGGACATTTAAAGAGAAGAAATACAATGTACTCAAAACAAGTTATGAGGAAAATAACCCACAGAAGGAAATTTCAAAATGTTAAAAATGCTGTTTTCTTCAAGTAGCAGAACTAGGAGTGATTATTTTCTGGCTTCTATTCTCTATTATTTGATAATGAGCATTTAATCATGGAATACTTTTTATAGAAATATGTCTCAGAGTAATTAAGACAGCAACAGTTAGATATCTAGGTGACACAGGACAGAGGAGTTAGCAGGCAGAGGCCCAATCTGAGTACAAAGATGGAGCCAACTTACTCATTTTTTGAGAACCTACAGTCTGCCCTCTGCTGGGATAACAAGTTGACTGATTTAGCAGAGGGCAGACTCTAGGTCTGTGATTACTTTTCTACCTTAAGCTTTCCCATAAGCTTCTCGCAGCTTTGGACATGACATTTCCAAGCTTCTCGCAGCTTTGGACATGACATTTCCCTACAAATTAGTGATTCTGCTGCTTCCCCAACAGTCTTCCTCATACACAGGCAAGCCATATAGATCAGTTCAGATCTGCCATCATGGCAGGCTACAGGAGACATTACTCAGCTCCACAGATACTGGGTGATTTGTTCTTAACTGTGACTCTGGCAACCCTCCCAGTACCTGGCACACTCTAGGCACTTAAGTATCTAATCATCTAAATAGCATGATTTGAGGCTTTATCATCCTTTCTCGAAATCTTCCACAAGAACCAACTTTCATTTTACAATTAAAGGTAAAATCTGACATCTGATCCCCAGCTGACAGACAACATTATATAAAATAATCCATGCATATGCCAGCATATACATGTATTTTCATACCTTTAACACAAATGGTAAATATTACATGCTTTTCCAAACATAGCTTATCAAAAATGAACATAATTCTCTGAAAATTAAAAGTTGTTTGATACAACTTCAAATTCTTTTTAACAATTAGTCACTAACAAAAAACAAACATAAAGGCAATTTTATAATTATACATAAGAACATAAATCACATTTAAGCACAAACATAAAAACAATCAACTCATTTCTCATCTTTAAGCTGTTTCTTTTCACTGGCTTCCTCCATATCGAAAGTGAATGGTTTGTCATAACCCATTAGATGGCTATAGTCTTCAGGGTTTGGAAAGAGCATTGGATTAACTAACAGTGACTTGGTTTTAGCATAAAATGTGGTAAACACATGTGTGCTGTTTGGAATCTTCACATCATTCTGGTGAAACACTGTACTTGTTTCTGAAAGCACAACATTATAAGTAATGGCTTTATAAGTGTCTGTTGTGGCTTCATGGTATAACCGAATGACATAGCCTTTTGTAACAAAGTGAAGCAGTGCTGGAGTGATCACTGTAAAGCTTCCTATGATGCCATAAAATAAGATTTGCAAAGGCAGACTTCCAAATACAATATTATTTTGTGCAAAAATGTATGGTAGAACTGCAAGGCTGATCACACTTGTAGAATAAGAGAAACATTTCACACCTAAATAGAAAAAAAATGAGAGAGGATTAATACCTTCAAATTTTATAAAAGAATCAACCTATCCAATTAATTCTTCTAGCTTTCCTTTTACTATATTTTCATCAAAATACATATATAATACTTACTACATTCTAGGCTCTGTTTTAAGCACTTACTATGTTTTACCCATGAAATGTACAAAACAGCCCTATGCAATAGACATATAATTATCGTCATCACTCCCATGTAAGAGATGAGAAAAATGAGGCACTTGCTCAATGTCACGTGTCTACCAAGTATCAGTACTGGTGTGATTCTCACCCAGGCAATCTGACTATCTGAAGAATTCAGACTGTTGGCCATTATACTACACTGCCTCCTCAGGAGGGAAATCTACCTCAGGGTTTACTGGCCACCCTCAGTTCCCCAGAGATCCTTATGAACACTATAAAAGCTCATTCAGTCAGCAGATTATCAAACAAAACTCTATTAACAAGCACTGCCACTTATCTAACATAAAAATACTCAAATATGGGGCTAACTTTGCCCAGGATTAAAACAGCAAATTACCAAAAAGATACCAGTGGTTAAGAAACATTATGGGAAAGGTACTCAACTTTTCTTACAAGGAAAGACATTCAAATTAAAA